TCGTCAGTGCGCCCAAACCCGCCTGTCAGCTCCCAGGATACTGGCAACTTGCCAAAAAGCGATGACCCAGCAGCCCAATGGGGCGTTGATATCGACCTCGGGCCTGAACGACAAGTCTCTCGGGTTCATGCACAAATCGATTTCGACAGTCAGGCGCAGACCTGGTTCATTACAGTCAACAGCAGAAACGGACTGAAGTTGGATGATATGAGCTTGACACGGGGCCATCGCGCTCCACTTCATTCGGGTATTTGCATTGGTATCATGGGAACTCAGATGCTCTTCCTTCTCGCCGATCAAGAAGATCAGTTCCACCCCATGCTGTGGCGCCAGGTCAAGTACGATCCAGAGCAGGAGGATTCTGATAAGGAAGGCAATCCGCCGTCCCGGTCTCTGCCACATGCACATCCTAGTGGTCCGACTCCAAAGCGTGAGAACTATGACCCATTCCCACCATCCTCACATCCTCGCAATAAGCATTCGTCCCAAGGCCACAACAATCAATTAACATCCACCCCAGGTCGGCCTATGCCCGGTACACCTCTGGCATTCCGCTCCTCAGAGAAAGATCCCCGCGGTAAAGGCTCGCCATCAGTATATCCTCGCGGAATGATGCTAGACTCTACAGAAGAAATTGACTACAGCCTCGATTCAGCCAAGGACCTAAAACCACCTCATAGTTATGCGCAGCTGATTGGACAAGCAATCCTGAGCAGTCCGGAGGAGATGCTCACTCTCGCCAATATTTATAGCTTTATCAAAGACAGATATGCATTCTTTAGGCACACCAATGGCGGCTGGCAGGTAGGTTTCAAAGTCTTTATTACCAGATTACTTACTAACGTTGATGCAGAACTCGATCCGCCACAATCTGTCCTTAAGCAAGGTTTTTGAAAAAGTTGCACGCCGCACCGACGAACCGGGAAAGGGTATGAAGTGGAGGATTGCAGATCACGAACGTGAAGACTTCATTAAGAAGCAGCTATTCAATGTGCGCAAAGGAGGAGCCCCTCGGCTAGACTCCTCCGGGCCAAACTCCCCAGCTTTGAAGGATCCCGCGCAGGCTACAGAACGCCTTGTTGGAGCTATGAGCCAGCCCGATGTGTTTGGTACCCACGAATCCACTACTACCCGTGTCAAATCGCCTCCACGTTCCGCGACTCCACCTTTGGCGTCGTATCCCATGGCGAACGAATCGTATACCCCTGACCGTGGTCCTCGTTCAAACCCCTTTGGAGGCTTCAAGCAATCCCCGTCCCACGGCGAGCAGGTCAGCGTCACGACTCCCGCAAAGCGACTTTTCCAAGACAGCAATGTCGGTGGCGCTCCTGTCTTTCCGCAGAGCTCCGAAGCCCTAGATTCAACCCGTCAGCTTGACAATCCCGAATCCTCGCCAACTGCCGATCCATCCAAAGCAAAGCTAGCCGGCCTGAAAGGCGGTGCTGCAAACTCTCCACCACCGTTGTTCTCAGACAATCCAGGTAACAACGCGAATGGTGCTCAGGACGGTGGTAGAGCTACCAATGCTGGATTAGTTACTCCGCTTGTAACACGCCATGCTCCACGCCTCGCGCCGCCAAGCACTGCACAGGTGCCGAGCCAGTACATGAATTTCTCAAGTCCTGCGCCATTCTGGAAGTTTGTGGATCTCCCTAGCACGCCCGCCAGAGCCCCAAATCTCGATGTCAGTCCTATCAAATTGAGAGGTGGAGATGGAGATAAGGATGAGGACGAGCCACCGCAGCCGAGTTCTCCACCGATTATGTTTGACGGCGGCGACAAGAAGGAAGATTCCCAGGAGCATGATGGAGAGGATAATGAGAACGAGAAGGGCGATGATGACGACGATGGCGGGCCTGAGAGTCCTAGCCGTACTGTTTCCCGCCCAGTCAGCCGTCGCGATGTCCCGGGTCCAGTCCAGCGCTCTCGGTCCAATTCGAATATTAATGGCTTCGCTGCGAATGGGGGCATGGTTCGAGGAGCAAGTCTAGGCCCCTTTGAGGAGGTACCCGAGGAGGAGAGCTTTGATCTTACGAAGTGAGTTTGCGTTGCTACACTCTGAGCATGCTGGGAGCTCGTCCAGTACCTAGGGTGGGGAATAGCGAGCTAATAAAGAAACAGAGGATTCCAAGGCATTGGACACTATCACCGCAATATCGCTCAGACACACAGCGCTGTACCACCGGGTCAAGCTCCAACTTCGAGAACGAGCGTTTCGACGAATATGTAGTGGTCTCCGTCACTGGCAACCCACTTAACCCACAAACCCGACATTAGCCACTTCCACGGCCATTGACTCAACCATTTACCGTTGGTTCCGCCGCTCATTACCATGTAACTCTATGCTTGGTATACGCATATATGGATACAAGTTCGGGTGTTTGAGTTGGCGCGTTAGACAGGTGGTATGGCTTTGGGTATCGTTTGGTTCACCTGTTTTCCTTCACATTCTGTGTAAAAACTGTCTTTTGAATTACTATTTTTTTCTACGGAGGGGATGGAGTTATGGAGGCATGTTTTACCTCATTCGAATACTGCTTTTGTCGTCCCCCGTATGGGTTTGTGCTTAGACTTTCTCATACGCATGTCGAGAGAGGGAGGCGTGTTTCCGGTTCTACTTGTTTACTTGTTCATGATGGAGGCTAGCTTTGCGCGTTTTGCTTGTACGGCATAGTGGATTTGCAAACTCGACTTCGGAGTTCTCCGGCTCGTGGAATAAATTATGATGTCATAACTCTCCTTTCTCTTTGCGGAAGAAGAGGTTTCATGCTGGTTGGTGGGGGCTGTGTGCCTTACTTGTTTTTGCTTAGATGTGTACGAGGAATTGAGCAGACGATTCGAATATCCTTGACGTTGTGACACGTGATTCACTGAGGTCATACCTCCTTCAATGATAAGAGCACGAGCGCATGGATACAGGCACGACTTATCTTGATGGACTCATTCCTATATTCCTCAAATCTCCCTCACTTCCATATCATGGTATTTACACATCTCCGAATCTTCCCCGCCATCCCTCCCCACATCAGTCCATCCATATTAGGAAAGAGTGGGGGTCTAGTTAATCTCCTTATGCGGAAACCACTTGCTAGCCTTCAGATTCTTCTCCTCGAGCGGTGCATCCAGTATCCCCAGTCTCCTGATCTCGCCGGCCGATGGCGCGTCATCACGTTTTATGTTGGCTTGTTGCTTGCGGTAGGCGGCTTGGAGGGCTAATGTTCTTGCTGCCTAAAATTTCCCTTACATCAGCTATCTGCCCCTACATAAACAACCCTAATCCAGCAGTCTCTCTGGTTTCTAAGTAGGGATTAGGAAGGGGCAAGGTAAAGAGCATTGAGAAGGGGGGGTTGGGGTTAGGAAAAGGGGATGTAGGGAGAGAGGAGAGGGGAAGGGAAGGTGGAATAATACCTCTTTCTTGTGATGTAAACATTCATAGTAGTCCTCTAGTACGGATACGCATTTCTTCTTGCCAGATTCGTCTTCGGGGGAGGTGTTTGTGACGTAGCAGGCGAGGACTTCTTGCCAGAAGGGGAAACAGCGGGATGGACCTTGACGATTCGCATGTCAGTATTAGTTGCTTGTGTAGGCGGAGGTATGAAGGTGTGGTGTTGGTGGAGGGGTGAGAAAGGTGAGAAGGATCGGCGGTGCAACGGAGGGCGGATGAGGTACGGTTCGCATTCGGAGGATAGTGTTGGCGGGGTCGCGGTTGGCCCATAATATATTGAAGCGTATTGAGGGCCTGGCATGTGGATTGGGGCTATAAAAGGTTGGGGTAGGTCGCATATGGATAGAATGTGATCGCGCCATGCGGTGCGGGTTCGAGATCGTTAGAGCTCTTCCAAAGGGCTCGCGATCGAGAAATGCTACTTTTAAAGGCATTGGAATAGAATAAAATACGTACCGCCTGATAATCCGTAGCCTGATGCCATTGTTGTGGTGTAAATTGAGATTCGAAGGTCGGTGTCGAGCTTCGAAGGGACCTTGAGGTTGAAATATCGGATTATGTAAGCGCTCATCACGTGAACAGGAGGCGATCTTCAACATCATGACTTGGCGTTAGGTTCTCTCGTCCTTCACAATTCATGGTTCTGTTCTGATGGAGTCTCGTTCATCTTTTCTTCTTGAAAAGTATGTAGTTGTCGACCGAAGAAGTATTCGAAATAGGTGGCGAGGATTTGTGAGTTATAATGGATGAAATGTTCCGACCTCTCTTTGGGCAGGGCGATTTCCTATCCTGCACGGTTACAGAGGCCAATGAATGGCAACACGGACATCAGGTAAGGTTGAATAGGAGTTGATATTGTATATCTCGGACGTATAATGTTGTCTTTACAAACGGATGGCGAATTTCTGCTAAACAGAGCCAGAATCTGGTGATGGCGTCAACTCCGAAGGTCTGAGTTCGATATTTCAGTAGATCATACCACTCTGCCACTTCTTTGTCCTTCAGAGACAAACCTGTTGCCTCTGATAATAGCTCAAGTTTCTTCCTTGACTTCAATACCTGCTTTTCCAGAACCTTAGCATTGATGTGATCGTGACCGTAGTCCGGACTTTACCCACTGGGCTGCTTTCCTTTTCGGGAGCTGTACTATCACTTACAAAACTGCCGCCGCCTAGTATTCATGGCCACCTGCCCTACCTGGTGCCCGAGGAACTCCCAAGTTTGGTGGGTTACTTCCACTATGCCCAAGTGATTTGGTGTTTCTCTGTTTGTGATGAACAACTCTCCAATTGAAGCTCAAACTCTTTACCACCATGCAAATTTCTCGCTACAATCAGTCAATAGCTATCTGAGTCATCTGGCCAAATGGGGTCGTCATCTCGACGATGAAGTTAAACATAGAAACCATATTTCCCATAATTTGACCCCTTGCACCTGCCGCAACCCCAATGCCGGAGCCATTCACCCTGTAGCGTCAACCATCACCATTAGCACATATTTTACGAATTACAGCACATAAAAAGAATTTGGAGAAAGGAAAGAAAACCAAAAAGAAAGGGACAGGGGTGATTCGAACACCCGACCTAAGCAAGACAGCTTGAAGCTGCAATGCCACGCGCTACCACTGCGCCACTGTCCCTATTGTATATTTAGTTTCAAATATAATAAATAATACATAGTTGCGGAAAACAAGGCAAGGACTGGACTGGTTTGCAGCTTCCTTAGTCAATGTGTTAGTAGTTGCATTCTTCCGTGTCGATTCAAGTTGGAATGCACTGATGTGGTTCGGGTATTTGCGTTGCACAAGTCTACATTATATTTCTTATCTTTTCTTATGGTTTGTTCTATTCATTCGTACCTCCAGTCTATCTATAATCTCCTGTAATATTGGGGAGCGAACCATTGTGCAGCCTGATGGTAGAGTTGAAGTACAGCATCCATGCGCCAGAACATCATCAATAGAAATATATCAAACTCTGGCAGGACCAAGAGAGCCTTTTACTGAATTTCTCTTTACTGTTCGTCGATACGAGATGACCAAGCCGGATAGGCAAAGTAGACGAACCAAAGGTTACCCTTAGAGCCGAGCCATTGCTCGGATTCCGCAGACAGCGTGATTGCGCAAACAAAACAACTGTTTACGCTAGATGATTGCATACTGTCAAAGACCTTGGCTCTCTAAGTGGTATTGCAAGATATAACGAGAAATTAAAGCGCTGATGTACCTTTGATGTACCACTTTTTTTATTGCCTTGTGTAGAAATTTAATATGAACTCCTACTTTACTAGTCTGAAGTACGAGTAAGCTATTGGTGGAAGCACCTTACTTAGACCAAAATGCAGTAAACGCCAGTTACGTTCCGATTTCTCTCAGAATTGATAAATCCGAGAAGTCTCATTCTGATAAGGCAGAGTCCAAATCCGGATAATCACCCAAGAACGTAAAGTTATAACCATCCGACAGAGAAGCATCTCCATGATTCGGAGAAATCGATGACGATACAGTACTACGTCAAAAGTCTGGTCCACTTAGGTAAGCAGAAAATCGAGTTGCACTCAACCCACAAATAAACCGTTTTAACTACATACAAATTATTTATACACATGTTTTTGAGGCATAGCAGCAAGAGTAGGTCGATGTTTTGTCTGCCAACCCCTCGTTTCCCTTACTGCATACAATCTTGGAAGCAAACTCTCAATCAACCTGCATATAAGACTCTCTGGCAGTTTCCGCCAGGCCTCTTTTAGAGCAGCCCGTAGCCCCCCCAAATCCTCTTCAGATTCACGTATGTTTGCTAGTTTTAGATGCAGCTTATACACAAGTCTCTTCAAGGCCAACCAGAGGTGTTCGATCGGATTGAGATCAGACAAATAGGGCGGCCACTCAATAGTCCAAATCCCGTGACTTTTAGTACAATTTTGGGTATATCGAGCGTAATGAATCGGTGCATTATCCTGCTAGAAAACCTACCCAGGAAGGTAGGAAGGTAAAGGCCCTTTCTCCAGAGTCTCACATACGATTTCGATGAGTAGCCTCGTCGCTGGGCGTTAGGATCCTTTTCCATAATAACTAATTCACTCCTCCCTACCCTCCCATTAAGGGCTACCCAGGAACAACCCCAGACCATTTGAGATAGATCTTTGCCCTTCTGCTTCTCCTGGATCATCTCTTTTCTCCCCTCCCCCTTAGGAAAGTGAAAACACCACTCTGCATCCCGGCCCTAGCCTCTCTCGATTGTGCACTTGTCAGAGAGCTTAATGACCCTCGTCCTAAAATTGAAGTGGCGATACTCGCGGGCGAATTTGAGCCTCAACAAAGCATGTCCCGGGGTTAATTTAGGTCACTTTTACACCTGCACTTCGTCAGACCTTTTTCCTTCAGCCGGCGGTAGCAGGTAGACTTTGAAGCGTGGAGAAGGGCTGCCTCTTCTATAAGCCTGCGGTATGGAATTTTAGGCTCACGACGAGCCAAAGGATGGAGCGCACGCTTCTCGCGACGAGAAACTACCCCAGGACGCCCATATCGAGGTAGGGGCTCTAGAGTTTGATGGTTCTTCCACCTCTTCAAAATGCGCTGGATCGACTTCGTGGTGATTTAAAACTCTGCCGCAACATCCTTGCGCAGAACGCCAGCCTCAACCTTCGAAATAATTGCTGCTCGCTGCACAGGAGATAATTCTTTATTCGCCTGACGATTTCCGCTAACTCCCTGCCCAAAAGAGCGTCGCGACATTGTATAATGGGTGGTTGAAAAGATAGACGCGTTGTTAAGATACACGCATCTCGCTGGGGTGGACCAGACTTTTGACGCTTAGCTGTATGTTCGGACACTGATGTGGGAGACTCGGGAGAAAAGGAGAATTTTCTCAATGAGCAGGCCGAGATGACTCCAGAAGTTGCGGAGGTCTTTCCTCCTTTGACGGCTCCTCCTCGCCAAGTGGTACTACTTCGCAATCTAATCCTTTGTCATTTAACCCCTTTTGCAAATCGTGAACGTAATGCTCGTTTGTGGTTTCTACCCCCCAAATGGACTTTAGACAACTCTGGTATGAATGCTTAGAGAACCAGATATTCAGTTTACGACCGGTAAATATATTTATAGCTTGTTTCCAATATGGATGCCTTTAAATACGGCGAAAAATTTGACTAGGCGCGAAAATATTCCCAGTCGGCTTCGGACACCCAAATCTTTAAGTTACGCAGATCTGGAAGGATTCGTAGGATAGAGCAAACGCGTTCTTATTCGGAAATATGACGGTGGATATCGAAGATAAAACTATCCTCGCTTGAGTCCGGAAGGTAGTACAGAGGGTGATAGAGCGGATGTGTCACCAACAAGGTCATATTGAGGCTCGAAATCGGGGAATCGCGTACAGACCGGTGAATACAAAGGTGTTATTTTGTAGAGAATTAGATTTTTTTTTTGGCATATCTGGATTGCCATCAATAAAGCGGCTTAAACGGAAGGTCGTTGGAAATGATAATGCACACTTGTCTATATATTTGAGGGAGGCTGCAGATACTCCATCCTTGAGGATATTTACCATATGGACGCATCACAGATGCATAAGGAGCCAATGTTACCTCTTTAGGCGTTCTGTCTGCCAGATTTCAGGAGCACAGATAGTGCTGCCTAGTCTTTTATCCGTCAATCTCGGAATAATGTGTATATGTTGTCCTCCCACAGAGTACTCCAGATCAGGAGTCGAAGTTCCGCAGATAGCTGAGCTAGTAATGATAAGGCCGATTGTATTTCGTACATAGAACTGTTCGATCGAGGAGGCGTTAGACTTCTGAGCCTTTCGGTTGGAAGGCTCTTGGAAATGCCTCCAGTGAGATAGAACAGGCATGGTCAGTAACAGTGGAAATGATTTAGGACGGGTCAAACACTTATACACCATTAGTTAGTCTTTTGTGTCGGATTTCCTTCACTTTCCAACCATAAATCATAGAGCGATGGTGGACAGAGTAATAAGACACGGCCAGTCTCAGGAATATTAAGTTATAGGTAGAGAAGTTATAGGAGCGTGAAGCAGAGAGATAATGAGGTTGAAGTGATAAAGTGAGTTGGAATAGATGAGCAGCTAAGCTCTGTTTTGCTTCTGCAGCCTGCGGCATTTGCCCTTTGTGGCGCACAGCGTGCATTTAAACATGAATGAGAGATAGAAAAGAGGCCTAGAGGAAAAATATTTCAGCCTCAAAATATGAGGCTGAGAAAGAGAAAATGGGATATCAAGAAAGGCAAATGCGACAGCAAATTTGCTAGAATTTCGTCAAACATGGGTCGAGGGTGATGGAAAGGCTTGTAGAGCTAGGGAAGAGTTGGGCTTTAAAGCGAGTCGTAATTTGAGATGGACTGGCTGCTGTCTTATTTGGTGAGCTATATATTTCTCAAGTGATTGTTCAGAAGCTAGGTATAATGCTGTTTAGAGTAAGTATGATTTCATGGTTGAGGGAAGATATGAACAACGAAACACGATACAGTGCAACGATTCGTCCTTATTTATACCCCTGAATCTGGCTTTTCTGCTCGATCTCTTCTTTCGAAGATATGTTATCACCAATGAACGTTCTGCAATCCATCCCAGCCTTCCTCAACTCTACTTCCAGCGCCATCACGAGCTCATCCTTGATGCAGCAGTGGTTCCAATGACTCTCATCACGCTTAGTACCACGCCGTTTTACCGGCAAAAAGATCTCCAACCCACCCTGTACCTCGATGCCCTTACAACCTTTCAAAAACGCAGCCACAGCTTGGTACAAGCCGGTCCGATGCCCACTTAGATATTGTTTGTCGAGGTAGAATGGGTTGGCAATGAAAACCCTAAGACCGCGGAGATTGAGAAGCGTTTTCAGGGAAGAGCAGACCGTGGGCCAGGCATGGAGTTGGAGACTGCTGCTTGCTTCGCAAGCGTCGTTTATGTCTTCGTTGCGGTAGAACATGGCGTAGATCTCGATGGAACGAATGGCTTGCCATCGTTCTGGTAGAATGCCATCATGGAAGATTCGGATGACGCGTAAGTCCCAGAATACGAATATGTTGGTTTCGTAGAGAATGGTGATTGCTTCCGTATATCTATATCATAATTATCTCTGTTCCTTTGTGTAAGGAATAGATGGAAGGTGTTGGAGCTAACATTTGTCTACATGCTCTTAGAAGATTGCACATGTTCCAATCCGCGAGCTGCTTGGTCGATGGTAAAGAGCCGTAGGTGAGCATGTACGAGGATGCTCGGAGACCAGGCCTCTTACATCGGTTCTCCTCCCAGTATTCGGGCGTGCATATGACATGGCCAAGTCTCCTGTATTTGGAGACAATGTGGATTTTCTGGCCGCCAATGGCATACTCCCATATCATGAGCCGAATTTCGGCAGGAAGTTTCACCAGAAGCCATGACTGAGGCTGGCTGGGATTATCCTTTTTGCACTGTTCAGCTGGAGGGGGTGTTAACGCCCGTTTTCTCTCTCTTGGAAGAGGCGACGGGAGCGCCTCTAGTGAGAACGTCAGTCGTGCTGTCAGGCTAGGTGGCTTGATACGAGAGAGCTGACCTGCGAAATCACTTTTTTGCCGTGATAAGGAATACTCTTCCATTGCCATTATGGATGGTTTGATTTGGAACATTGACATTAGAGAGACTT